ATGCGGACGCTTAACCGATGTGTCGTTGTGAAGAAAGAGCTGAGCCGTAAGGCGAGACTCTCGATTTACCGGTCGATCTAGGTGTCGACCCTCACCTATGGTCATGAACTTTGGGTAATGACCACAAGAACGAGATCCCACATCTTCTGAACTAGAAACAACTTTCTGCAGATTTTCTATCGGTGCTCTGCTTTTTACCTCGAACATAATGAGTGTTTGCACAAGTTTCAATAATCCTGCTTTTATAAATAATACTGCGTCTAAATTTTCGTTTCATTTTCTGCCAAAATCTTGAAATCCTCATCCAAACACATAAAACACAAACTCTAATCAACTTCACATATTAAAGAAGTTCGGCCCCAAAACAGAGCCTTGTGGCGGTGTGTTTAACCCACTTTTGAACCTTTAGTTTATGATCTGTTGTGTCAAATGTTTTTATTAGGGCCTGACCGATTTATCTGCGAGTCAATTAAATCGGCCAATTTTTGCCCGTTTGAGACTAATCGGTAATCGGCCAAAACTCGCAGATTTTCGCCGATATTTTCAGAAATAAAATGTGGAGAATAAGATTCTGTTTCACTTCGAAAATGTTCCTCCATTTAAAAAGTTCCCCGACTTATCCTGTAGATGGCGCAGCGACCTCAGGGACGCACGGAGGAGAGTGGTCCGCCTCAATGGGAAATAAACCAGTTTGTGAAACATACAATAAGTTAGTAGTTGAAAACGCTTTTCTGGTCTGAGTTTGATCAGTCTGCCTTCTTGTCGGCGGGAAGAGCATTAGCCTACAGTGTATCTACAGTATATCTATATATTTTTTAACTTCATAAAAAATGTAAAAATCAGCCGATTAATCGGTATAAAATTGGCATCAGCCCCAAAAATCCATACTGGTTGGGGCCTAGTTTTTAACGGTCAGTGAAAACCCTGATCCTGTTTTCTTTCTCTCCTCTCTCACTGTTGTAATGTCTTCTGTTCTTCTCATCAAAAACCTGTTTCCTAGTGACGCCCGTCCCAAATAAGAGCTGGGCCATAAAAATGAATGTTTGACAGAGTGTCTATGAAGGGTTTTAGTCGACATCGCACACACTGCCATGACTCGGCGTCTGCTGATGAAACGCTCCGGGCTCGTCTTCTGCCTCCAACCAGCTTTTGTTGAGGTTGTTAATGAAACTGCTTCATTTACAGCACAAGTCAAACATCCTTCAGCCATTTTTCCTCACTTTCGTACACAGTCTGGCGGAAAAAAAAGAGAGAAAGTGTTGCCATCTGGTGCGACTTAAAAAAACAGGACCCCCTGTCTTTCCTTCAGCTGGAATAAGAGGAGCAGACAAAGAGGGGAAAATGGAAGAATCTGCTTTGGGGAGTCAACAGGAACCATGAATCATAGCCTCGCTCATCAAGTCTCATTGCACAGAGTGAGCCCGTTCTCAGAGACGAGGCAGTTTGTAGTTTCTCAGCGGGCCTCATCAGCGAGCTTGTATCACACTAATACATGTGAGGCGCTCTGTCAGCCCCCCTCTGCCACCAAGCAGCAACCCATTATTACCAACCACACACACGGGCGCGCTACTGCTGCTCTGAATGCTCGGCAGATTGGAGGAGGGGAGCGCGGTGTGCGGTACAATCAGCCCGAGTTTGTGTGTGTGCGTGTCGAATGTTTCTGTGAGAAGCTCTGATAAAGTAGAGAGAGTTTTTCTGATCTGTAAAAACATCTGCAGCCGTCTCTTCTCAGGGACATCAGTCATGATCAGTTCTGGAAACCCCACCGTCAGGAGGATGCAGTTTGACTTTAATGAAAAGTTTATGCGTGTGAAAAAGCGTCTTTTTAGATCTTAAAGAAAACACAAACTCCGTCCACCAACTTTGACTGAATCCATGTCAACAGCTGCATCTTACTTTCACAGAGTAACCGCACCAGCGTCTCTGTCATCAGCTCCTGGTTTAGAGGCAACACTGACCTGCTGACCGTGAACATCGAATAAACTCAAATACCAAATATGAAGAAAGCTGACAAACTCCCACTCACAGCTGCAGAGGAACTTTACGGTCCCTCTGCTTCGTGTTCGGCCATGAATCTTTTAGTGAACCAGAGAAATAAATTCAGTCTGAATCAGTGTTTGTGTTTCTGTCACTTTTCGATTCTGCTTTTTATAAATGGTTTCATTCGTGTTTTTCTCTAATCCTCCTCGGAGACTTCCCTGTTTATTCAACGTTCATTTGAACCAGAGTTTAAAAATCTTGACTAAACATTGTTCACCCGTGCGTTACCTCTAAAACAAAGAGGAGAAAAAAAGCACAGATTCACTGCCCCACTTTCCTCCAGACGTTTCAGGTATTCAGCCGTGATGAAATCACTGACAAACTAAATTTAGCAGACGCTGAACAGACCTCAAAGTCTGGTTTTAACTTTGATGATATGAATCTGCTGGCAACCAGTTAGGAGAGTAGTCGTTATTGACAAATTACCGTATTACCGTATTATTTCTAATATCTGGTGACAGAAATAGTGAAATAAACGTCTCTGTCCTCCGTTATTGTCCTTCTATGACGATCGGCTGTGGTCTCTTAGGGGTTAAATGCATACCTGTGTATGTATGATCTCCCTGTTTATATATCAAACATGATTCTCTGCTCTCGTTTTCATTTGTCGTAAAATTTGCATAAAAGCAGAACTCACGTTTCATGGCACCTCTTTGGGTTTAGAGTCCAAGTCTGATGCTGATGTCGGAATTTCCAAGCTCTGAGTCGTAGCAAAGGAACTCCAACACACTGTCCAACTTGCAATCAATCATTTATTTACAACGTTTCGGTTATTGACCTTCATCAGTGGCAAAACGTTTTTTTTTTTTTTTCTCCAACGCACCTGTCTTGTTTTATCGATGTGCGAAGTGCTTCCTTTGTTTCAAGCTCTGAGTGGGAAATTCATCTGGAACGCCCCCCTGAAGTCAGATTTCCGACTCGGAAAGTTGGACGATCTTCAACAACCCCAACTTGACGACAACGTCCTAATCCAAGATGGCAGCACGGTGCATCAACAGTAAAGAGTAACAGTGAAAGCTCTTGTAATGTTTTATTTATTAGCACTTCTGTTTTGTTTTGGTGAAATTTAATCAGTAGTTTAAAGTGGTTTAACAACAGCTAACTGTAGGCGTCAATCTTGTTTTTGGGACTTGTTAACTGAACGCCGTCAATTTGTGTGTAACGTCATTCCCAGTTCCAACATCCGACTTCCGAGGTAACTGGAATGCAGCATCAGTCTTCGGTGATCTTCCTGCTCTGATCTCTGTGACCTTTGACCTCTGAGCTTCTTTAACATGAACTTCACCATCATCTTCTGCTCATTATTGAACATTTCCAGTTGTTTTTACACGTAGAAGTTCACACAGAGCTGTTATCATGTCCTTAAAATGGTCAATATTAAATAAAACGTGGTGTAAACATGCCGCAGCCTCCCTCAGTGATATAATGTTTTATTTACTTTAAAAGCATCATGTTTTTGTTGCATATTTTAATTCGCAGTCTAACCTGCATCCTGTGTTTCTGTGCTGCTTCACATGTCTGCATTAATTCTGCGTCGGAGCTCTACATGCTGTAATTCTGCGCCGTTCGCCGGCGTGCCAGCTGTAATAAAGTTCTCTCATCTAAAGGGTCAGTGGTGCTTGATGAGCAGAGAAATTACACTGTTCCTCATTTTGATGAATGGGCGGATTCCTGTCAGCGTTATGTTCTGCCGTATTAGTTATTTTCCTGGAGTGGATAAAGGCTGATGCATGTGTTTTCTGCATCATTCCTGTCTAAGTGCCTCCTTACCGCCTCCATATATTGTGTCGTTTAACACGGAGTGAGTTAGGGTCAAATAAAACTCTGTAACAACCTCTGATATCGGTGTATGTTTGATAGCCTGATCTATCATATTTGCTCACACTTTATTTAGGCACTTAATGCCTGATTGCAAAAGAGCATCTTTATGGTTTTTTACGTCGTTTTGACCGAATCAAAAACCCGATTTTCACGCTGTAAAGGAGGGTGATTTGTTGCATCTGCACACAGTCAGGTTTTATCCTTCTTTTATCACTGCTATTAGATTGGAATTGCTCCTATAATCTTTTCTGAATATGCATGAATAAACTTTTACCGTGATAGTGAACCTTCAGCAGGAGACTGTTACAGAACAAACAAATCAATGTGGAAAAAATACAGAGTGAGTCAGCGCGGCGCTGCAGACTGTGAACCAAATAAAGAAATCTAATCTAAATGTGCCGTTGCAAATGTCACAAGTAAAAGATTAATATTGACTGAGGGAAATTAAGACTCCTGGAGGGAGAAGGTTCAGGTATTAGACAGCTGAGATTGAAAAGGCAACAAGCCTTCGTTCAATTTCCCATCTGCCTTTTTCTGGTCCCAGTTTCAACTCCAAAAAGACTCACAGGAGATTGATTACACAACAGCAAAAAAACAGAGGGTGTGGGGGACTGTTTCCAGATTCTCAAAAGTGCATCCATAAACATGATTTTTAAAGAGTGAGTGTTATTATTCAGCTCTCTCCCATGTGTCCCATCCTTCATCGCTCTTTGTTTGCACTCTCACATACTTTCCCATTTCACACATTAGGCAATTACCAACACAGGGTAATCAAATCTGCCTTTAAATCCACGCCCTGGTCATCTGCTGCTGCTGCAGGGATAGCATTAGTTATCCATCAGTGGTGATCTGCCGGGTTAAGTTTCTATTGCATTACAGGGTCGAGCCGGAGCGGGTCAATTAGATTTGTCTTTAACGCAGCTGTCAGACGGAGGCTTTAAAGGCTCTTTGTTTGTGTTGGTGCGATGGTTGCATGAGCTCCTCTGTCCGCTACACCCTGGTCAATGTAAGCACGGATGTTTCTCTGATTGTCCGTTTAACGTTACATGCTTCTCTACATTCTCCGTTTCCTGTGGCGGGGTTGCAAAGTAAGATGGAGCCAACAGGAAGCGACATCTGTTGTCTGACATCTGACAAGGATGGATTGCATGACTGATGCGAAGAGGGCGCATCGAGGGTCCCCGGGTCAACCAGCGCTCGACAAGAGGTCAGCAGGGGTCACAGGACTTTCTCCCCCGGCAGACTCAGGAAGCAAATCAAACTTCAAACAGCGGCTGATCATCTGGGGGGTAATTGCAAATCTAGTGAAGCCCTCATTCTACTTGGAGTGGACCCTCTTTCTTTTCACGCCAAACAAGAGGCAGAGGAACCCGTGCAGCAGGATGGAGAAAACCTGGACCAGAATGATATGCAGCTTCATCACATTTGTGAGCGTATGTGTACGAAGAGCTGGAGTGGCAGCTGACAAACCCAGGACTGCAGCGAGCCAGCTGCCCTCCGAGTACAGTGACAGTCTTTGTCTTTAAGTGGTTAAACCCGAGCTCGCTCAGTTAGTCTTCATTAACACGGCAGCATTTTCCAAATTGTATCTCGGACACATGACCAGCATGAGTTTTCTCAGGGAAACTGAGACACGACTGCTTTCCTGTTTTTTTAAAACCTTTTTCCACGACTGAGTTACACATGCAGTAAATATCATAACACTGATATGATGTGCACAGATTTAATCTAATCAGCTACTTCTTTGTTTCCTCGGCCATGGTGCTACAGGTAACCTCACTAAACCTCGTCCGGGGAAGATACCCCCGGACCCCCCTACAGGGCTCTGGATTCCAAAACTTCAGCCCCACCTATTATTTTTCTCTCCAGCCGTCACTGGTTATAACTGAAACTTTGGTCTGTCCTTCTGTTCTACCTGTACTTTTATTATGAAGTTGTATAATGATAGGTGCCTTTAAGGTGGCCTTTCCAGCTTTTGTGTTAAAAGAACAGAAAGGGGCCCCTGCTTATGTTTGCCCTAGGCCCCCAATTTGCTGTGTCCGCCACTGACAAGGTGGCGATGAAACAACAGATTTCTGTTTCTGGTTTTACTACAGGAGGTTAGAGCATGTCTAAAATGCTGTGTTTGAGTATTTCACCGACATATTTTAATAATTTAAAGACCATAAACACTTTGTGCGCATTTTACACGCGCTGTGAGCGACTCTGACAGAGAAGATGAAGCTGAAGAAGCCGACAGGTAACTCCACCCAACTGTTAAATATCAAAACACATCAGGACATCCACCTCTTTAAAACAAGACATGTCTTACCTTACTACGATGTATATAAACCCCTCCAGTTTCAGATAGTGAGCAGGTAACGTTTCCACGGGAAAAGAAAAAGAAATAGTAATCCATTTTCGTCTTTTTCCGCCAGTAAACTTTGTTTTTTTTTAGTTCCCCACAAGCTAACGCAACAGACATTTCCGTTTGATTGAACCACAAAAATGTCAATCAAACTGACAGACATTACAGTCTGACCAATCATAGCCCAGAGCTCACTCTCCGTACCTCCCCATCTATACAGTGATTGGATGAATTAATTCCGGTTTGATTATAGTCGATTCATTCTGCCAATGCCAGGCTCTCAGATAAGGCGTTGATGCAGGTGATCTCCACCGATTGGCTGAGATACACGCCTGCGCAGTGCTGCAGCTCGAAGCCGTGTAGCTACGGCGATGCTAATTGCTAACGCTCGGTACCAAACAGGCCAGAAAAGCTGGGCCCCGATTGGTTATTCCTTATGGCTGTGAGCCGAGCGCGGGCTGTCGGATTTACCGCGATTGTGAATCTCGCAGAGTGAAAGGAAGGAAATGGAGGTTACGGTGAGTCTATGCCGTCAGATTGTTACCAATTCCACATCTTTATAGCCTCTTAATATTAAAACATGTGTGTTTAGAAACACTGCATCTCTGATAAACTCTCCTAGCTTTACCTTTAGAAGCTGGCACAGTTAAAGTTGACTTGTAGCCACACAGAAAACTGGTGATTGAGGACCACCATGTCACGCTCACACATTGATTCATACCAACTTCTCCAGAAACAATAGTTTTTTTTCCATAGTTCCTTTAGCTTGGTAGACAGCAGATAAGCTACTTCAAGGTTAGTGCATCAACATTATTAATTACTAGCCGACATACTTTATTTGATTAGCTTGGGCGTGGCACGCTGCTTCTAAACTCTGGGGTGAACGGGTGGGAATGCGTGTGTCACACGCCCAATGCGTGAGACTTGAGAGCCCTGTAAATATATCCCCCCAAATGAGGTCCTGGTTTGTTGCAAAGTTCTGACTTCAGCCATTGCAATCACTGCTGAGCAGATGAGAGCCCGACACATAGACATAAGAAAGGCTAGATGAATCGAAGGGGAGTCACTGGCATCCCTACATGGCGGCCATCTTACTCTAGTATACCATTCTGTTACGCTCTATGGTAGCTGACGGGAGGTGAGTAATCTGCATGATCAAAAATACTCTGAACTCGCTGAAATCGTGACAGATTTACAAATGGTTTAGTTTATTACAGACCTTAATAACGGGGCTATGAGGATCTTTGGACATATTGAAATGACAGATTTTACTTTGAGAAAAAAAAGACTTAATCGTGAAACACAGTTGTTTCACGGCTATTTGCATGCAAGGGCTAACTTTGAGTCGCTTTGCGTGAGTTGTCAAGGCTGAGACCACAAGCGAGATTTTAATTTCTTGTATGACAGCCTTTATTTTTGGTCTAAGTGAGAGTTTTTGTGGATGTGCTTGTGTTTATCAGCTGTCTAACTTGGCTAAAAGACATCTAAACTTATGTAGATCCAATTTTTCCGATGCAAACATGAAATAATAATCAGTTACTGATGCAGCTTGGCTTCTTTGCAGATTGCATCCATGCGCTTGTCATCCATGCACTGATTTGAACAAAAACTGCCAAACTTGACCACATGAGGAGATCTCATCTGTCAACAGAGTTTGTTTACGTCCAGTAGAAGCATTACTAGGTGTTGGAGCTCCAGTGTTGGAGCTCCAGGTGACTTGAGTAGACACCCTGCAGCTGCAGGCGTGGGCGACATGAGTAAACATTCCTATCACAGTATTTTTTCTGTGTGTGTAGTATCATATTAGAAATGTAATGAGATCAAACCTGCAAACTCAGGCTCACTCACCACAAACGCTCATGAAAATACATCTAAGGTGCAGCTTTACAAACCGCAGCAGATGCACGACTTACAAGACTTCTCGTACTTTGCATTTAAATCGTTGATGTGACTCTGTGTGCAGCTTTAACACGTTTTTTTTCTGCAGGCTCCTTTCTTTCTCGGTCTTCAGGATCAGGCTGGACCTGCAGTAGAAAGCAGGGCCCACATGCTGTCGGTGCTACATTATAAATGGCATCTTGATGTATAGTGTCAGAGTCTCACAGTCTAAGTGGGGCCGTGTGTGTTTGTCAGTCGCTCCTCAGAGTGACATGCAGCCACTTAAAGCCAGCTGCCTCCTGAGTGGCGGACTATATGGCGATCCGGCTTGTTAAAGGACAGCCTGGAGGCCGGTTTTCTCAAATTTCTCCTGTGTGGCAGGGGGAAGGACAGCCAGCCGCTCTCCTGTGTGGATTCACTTAATTGCGAAAGGCGACGACGGAACCATCCCTCCTAAATCTGGGCACTTATTGGGCACAATTTCATGGATGAGGATGACAAAAGAGCATTACCCCGTTTTGTGTACATAATGTCCTACATGTCAGGGGAGCGCTGATGAAAGAGTCTGCATGGCTCTGGGTTTCTTCCTCGCAATGAGCCATGCAGGATGTCCTTACACGGTTCTATCGCCGCGTTTCTCAGGGGTATCAGTGTAAAAAATGAACATCCTATAATTTCTTCTCCTCGCTCCGGGCGCTGTTTCAATTACAACCTTTCAATTTAAAATACTAAAGATCATTTTCCTCCATATCTCTGGCTGCAAAATGGGTGTGAATTTATGGAAAGGTCAGAATTAAATTAGAAAGGATGGGACCTGCGGAGAGCTGGCAGCAGAATGACCGTCACTTCATATAAGTTATAGAGATATGCGGCTTTCGCTGGGTGGCTTTTGGATCGGTTTCCATTAACAATAGGTTTATGGAGAGCGTACATGCACTTTCACAGGGTCTGGGTAACTGATATCCTATTTCCATCATCCCTTAAGTCCTCCAAGTGTTGGAGCATGTTGAAAAAAAAAAGTGCATGTTGATAATAAAAAAGCAATAGATAGGACTAGAGGTCTTTTCGGAGCAGCTGTCAAATAAAAAGCCCTGACGACAGACAGCTTTTCAGCACAAGTGCAGCTGCGACGCTGAATAGTGTCGGAGTGCAATGTGACACAGTGGTTGCGCACAGCTGATCCTGTTTGTGTGTATGTGAGAGTATGGATGCACCGGAGTGTAAGGGTGGTATTATATATGTACAGTATAATGTACGCTGGCTGTTACTGTATGTGCCTTCCATTAGGGGAGTTCATCGACGGCTGCACTGAGCTAATTATGAAGCTTTGCTGCCAATTTCAACACAGGGGCTTCATGTTTTTATTCATGAAGCTCACTTTACTTCAACAGCAGCATCCACATTCATTTGCATTACATTTCATTTATTATCTGATGTGTAGCTAAGTATATTTCTGTGCACTCTGTAAATCAATCTCAATTTAATGGACGCTCACTTATGTGTATGTTGAAGGAGTTATTGGAGACTGAGAGTAGCTTCTAAATATTCATGAAAGCCATATGGAGCAGTGCTGACGGATTAGAGTGATATAAAATGGCACTTAAAGTTTAATATCTGCAGAAACAGCTTTTTATTTTAAGGGACAATGACCAGGAACTCGGCTGGATTGGAAAAAAAAGTTCCAGTTATATCTTAATTTACCCGAGGTAAAATGTTGGGCTGTCTGAGTTCATATGTTAAAGATGGAAAGTTGATTTTCAGTTTTTTTTTTTTTTTTTTGTCCCTCTCAGCACACCGTAGTACGCCTTATCGCCATGGAGACCAATAATGCAGGACCTGTAGGAGAAAGAGACGGCGACAAAACTGCAGCTCCTGAAAAGTGCGTTGACGGCAAGTGATCCAAATATATCTCTGAATAACTGCACACCATGATCGGATATTTTTGCACATGCACTTTGCAGCATTTATCAAGTTTCACTAGAGCGGAAGAACCCACTTAAATAGGCAGAAACATCAAGCAGAACCAGACTGATGTTAGACAGTCATCTGCTGAGACTGCATGTAAGGGATTCCAGGATTAAGACATTTTGCAGAGGTTTGTATATGAATCTGGATGAGGTCACAGAGCTGGCGTTGGTTCTGTACTCTGGTCAGCCAACAGGTAAAACACACCTGCTTGCATGACTCTGAACATGCAGCAATAACAGACATTTTAACACAGGCTTTTTGTTCTTTACCTCCTGTGGACATTTGAGGAACTGCAGATTGATAGCTGCATGTTCATAACGACTTGCTGTAAAT